GGGACACTGCAATGCCACTGACTCGCTTGTTCTGTTTTTGTCTGTTCAGGATGTCCTCACGGTGGTGGTGGAGGACCTCAGGCTTTGCACCGTCAAGCCCTGCGAAGACATCGAGCGGAGGTTTTGCTTTGAAGTTGTCTCCCCCACTAAGTACGTTGTGCTAGTCTCCTCTTTCTTTCTTTTTCAGTGCATTATAATTACAGTCGTACCTTGGTTTCCGAACAGCTTAGTTCTTGAACGTTTTGGCTCCCGAACGCTGCAAACCCGGAAGTGACTGTTCCGGTTTGCGAACTATTTTTGGAAGCCAAACGTCCGACGGGGCTTCCGTGGCTTCCGATTGGCTGCAGGAGCTTCTTGCAGCCAATCAGAAGCCGCACTTTGGTTTCCGAACGTTTTGGAAGTCAAATGGACTTCTGGAATGGATTCCGTTCAACTTCCAAAGTACAACTGTATTATTACTATTCTATTTCTATAGCTCCTGCCAACCTAGCAGTTCGAAAGCACAAAGTGCAAGTAGATAAATAGGTACCGCTCCGGCGGGAAGGTAAGTGGCGTTTCCGTGTGCTGCTCTGGTTCGCCAGAAGCGGCTCAGTCATGCTGGCCACATGACCCGGAAGCTGTACGCCGGCTCCCTCGGCCAATAAAGCGAGATGAGCGCCGCAACCTCAGAGTCGGCCACGACTGGACCTAATGGTCAGGGGTCCCTTTACCTTTACCTTTATTTCTATAGCGCCATCACACAGGAAGCGCCTTAGGCCCAGTGAGAACATTGGCCCACAAAGGTCAGTGTTCTTTACACTGAATGGCTCTTTGGGATTTTAGACAGGGTTCTCTCCCAGACGACCTGCTGGCAGATGCCGGAACCTTCTGTATGCGAAGCATAGAGCAAGATCAGAAGAGCCTGCAGGATCAGGCCACGGGCCCCTTCTTGTCCAGCTTCCTGTTCTCACAGTGGCCAACCAGATTCCCCAAAGGGAAGTCTGTAACAGCACTCTTTTAATTGTGGCTAGTAGCCATTAATAGCCCTCTCCTCCATGAATTTTTCTCATTCTCTTTTAAAGCCATCCAAGCTGGTAATAATAATAATAATGATAATAATAATTTTATTATTTATACCCCCCACCCAAATCTGGTGGCCATCACTGCATCTTTCAGTAGCAGAGTCCATTGTTTACTTAGGTGCTGTGTGGCCCATTTTAACAGATCTGCATCTTTATAAAATTTAGGGGAGCTTTTATAAAAGGCCCAAAGCAAAGGCCAATCTGGTCCCATATCCTGTTCTCACAGTGGCCGACCAGATGCCTGCAGGAAGCCCACAAGCAAAACGCAATGTCTACTCGGGTTCAAAGTGGACTCTCCTGATCCAGTCCGGGAGCGGATTATGACCCAGATTGGATAAATGGTCCAATTCAGGATGGTCCACGCACCAGATTTCATTACCAAGCACTGTCTCTGTTCCGCTCCCATATAAACGTTTTGGGTAGTCAGTGTTTTAATTCCTTGGCTTGATGTTCCGTCACACAATGGGGAAGTCGATCTTTCCAAGGAATGTGTGCATCAGGTACAGCCAGCTGCCGCCCTCATGGTGTATTAACAACAGCCCTTTTTGGGTTGTTTATTTATGTGTGGCATTTATATTCCGTCTGTCCTCTGAGGAAGTTTGAACCCTGTTCTCCCAGGCCCCGCACTGGTTCTCATCTCCGCAACAGCCCTTCAGGTATTTGAAGAGGGCTTGTTCATGTCCCCTCTCAGTCTCCTCCGGGCTTAAGCACACCCTGCTCTTTCATCTAGAATCATAGAATGGTAGCGTGGGAAGGGACCACGAGGGTCATCTAGTCCAACCCCAACTTCCCTTTCAGGAGCTGCATGCTGCAGGCCGATTCAGAGAAACTGCGCCAGGCGTGGATCCAAGCGGTTCAAGCTAGCATCGCCTCTGCCTATCGAGAGAGTCCCGACAGCTGCTACATTGAAGTAAGGACATGCGATTTTCATTTCTCATTCCCCCCCCGCCCTTTCCAATCTTATGTTCCGTTCTCCACATTCCTGAATCAGTTTGTGATTTTTCAAATAAAAAAAATCCTTGTGAAAATTCAGCGTTTTAAACATTTTTATTTATTTTATTTTTATTTATTTATTGAATTTATATACCGCCCTATACCTGGAGGTCTCAGGGTGGTTCACAGAAAAGATCACAATATATAAAAAGAAAACAATAACCCAATAACACCCCCAAAATTCTTCTAAATTTGCATGCAATTTTGCCATGTGTTTACAAAGCAGTTTTCCCAATGTAATGTATGTTTCAATGCTATTTTCAGCAATATGTGCCACTTTATGCACGCTTCACCCAAGTGTATGCATTTTTTGGGGGGAGCAAATTCCTTGGCAGGAGAGCTGCGTTGCAAAATCTGGAAAAGTGTAAATGCCAAAGGATGGCTGTGTTTCGGTTTGCGCGTTGTTTTGCAAAACATGAACTAAGTAGGTTCGCTTATCAATGTGAACTGAATTGAATCTCTCCCCACTCCCCCACCATCCCTACTTTGAAGTGAGATCAGGGTACGGGGAGAGAAAGAGGTGCTAGTTGTGGGGTCTACCCCACCTAGTAAGTGCAGTTGCTATTTCCAAGTTCAGTAATGTGTATCTGATATGAAAACATCCTAAGAGGGGTGACCAGGTGGACAAAATTCACAGTAAAGGTTTAAAGACACCTCTAGGGTAAATTTATTTACTTTAAATATTTATTTGCAATTAGTCAGATCAGAGCACACGCACCTCGCGAAGACCAGCATTTCGCTTTTGATGCCTGTTCAGCTCTCATACATAAGTCAAAAAAATCATACCTCTGCTTAATCCCTTGTTTGTTGTTCACATGCTGGGGTTGGAGGCGTTAAAGATCTCTTTGCCTCGCAGAGAATAGTAGAGTTGGAAGGGATCCCGAGGATCATCTAGTCCAACCACCTACAATGCAGGAATCACTGCTCACCTCTCTCTTGGTTTGCAGTGGAGTCATTCTGCAGAACCCATGGCACTGGCTCTTTGGCATGTCCCTCTTTTTTAATTTTTTTAAGCCCCTCTTAAAATTGAATGGCTGACTCAAAGTTCTAGAGCAGGAGAAAATAACGGTAGGAGGATGATGAACGTAAAGTCAAATGTGTTTTTCTAGGAATTAGCCTGTAGAGCCATCTGGTGGTAGAGTTTCATTGCACATGCCAGAAACTGTGAGTGCCTGTAATGCTTCTACAGTATAGTGGTACCTCGGGTTACATACGCTTCAGGTTATAGACTCCGCTAACCCAGAAATAGTACCTCGGGTTAAGAACTTTGCTTCAGGATGAGAACAGAAATTGTGCAGCGGCGGCGCAGTGGCAGCAGCGGGAGGTCCCATTAGCTAAAGTGGTGCTTCAGGTTAAGAACAGTTTCAGGTTAAGAACGGACCTCCAGAATGAATTAAGTTCTTAACCAGAGGTACCACTGTACTAAGATGGAAGGTAACATGCAATTAATCTGTGGCAAAATCTTAACTTTTTGAAATAGGGTAACTGACACTGTTGCATTTTCTGCAAGTGATAGATTGCAGTAGAACAGAATTTTCTGTATTCTGTCCCCTGAATTGCAAGTTGAACGATAAGAATGATGACGATAAGATAATCATTGCCATCATTCTCATTACATTTCTATCCCACTTTTCCTCCGGGGAGCTCAAGGTGGCATGCAAAGTACCCTCCACTCCACTCCCCTCCACTCCCCTCCACAACACCCCTGTGACTTACAACCAATCTGAGGGTAGCCCCTCTTGCCAATGGCTCTGTCTCTGCCTGTCATTGGTTCTGGTGCCACCTACTGTTGGGCTCCCTGCCTTCTGCCCTACCAGTCTCAATGGGAACCAGCCACTACTGGAATAATAATAATAATTTATTATTTATACCCCACCCATCTGGCTGGGCTTCCATAGCCATTCTGGGCGGCTTCCAACAAAATATTAAAATACAGTAATGCATCAAACATTAAAAGCTTCCCTAAAGAGGGTTGCCTTCAAATGTCTTCTGAAAGTCTGGTAGTTCTTGTTCTCTTTGACATCTGGTGGGAGGGCGTTCCACAGGGTGGGTGCCACTACCGAGAAGGCCCTCTGCCTGGTTCCCTGTAACTTGGCTTCTCGCAGCGAGGGAACCACCAGAAGGCCCTCGGCGCTGGACCTCAGTGTCCAGGTAGAACGATGGGGGTGGAGACGCCCCTTCAAATATACTGGACCGAGGCTGCAAGAAACACCAGCAGGCAATTTTTTCATTGCTCAATCCCCCTCTGTACCTCTTTCCAGAGACTGGACCGAACAGCTTCTCCTTCCACCAGCAGCATCGACTCGGCTACTGACTCGCGGGACCGCAGTGCCAAAGGCGAAACCATCCTGCAGAGGGTGCAGAGCATCCCAGGCAATGACCAGTGCTGCGACTGCGGGCAAGCCGACCCCCGCTGGGCCAGCATCAACTTGGGCATCTTACTATGCATTGAATGTTCAGGGATTCACAGGTAAGCTTGCTGAGTTGATCCCAGCAAATGGGGCACAAGGGCAACGGAATCGCCCTGCTCTGTTGGACTCGAAGGTCCATCCGTTCAAGCACCCTGTTCCAATAAGCCAGCCATAACCCCTCTGAGAAACTCACAAAAAGGGCAATGGCATGCCTTTCCTGTCCAGACCACTGGTCCATCGAGCTTGGTATTGACTACACTGACTGGCTGGAGTCCTCTTAATTATTGGTATTTTTATTGATACTTGATATACAAATGTTCGTACCCAATACAAAGTATATTTTTATAATACAGTGGTACCTCGGGTTACAGACGCTTCAGGTTACAGACGCTTCGGGTTACAGACTCCGCTAACCCGGAAGTAGTACCTCAGGTTAAGAACTTTACCTCAGGATGAGAACAGAAATTGTGCGGCAGCAGCAGCGGGAAGCCCCATTAGCTAAAGTGGTACTTCAAGTTAAGAACAGTTCCAGGTTAAGAACGGACCTCCAGAATGAATTAAGTTCTTAACCAGAGGTACCACTGTACACCAGAATAGAAGATACAGTGGTACCTTGGGTTAAGTACTTAATTCGTTCCGGAGGTCCGTTCTTAACCTGAAACTGTTCTTAACCTGAAGCACCACTTTAGCTAATGGGGCCTCCCTCTGCTTCCGCACAGCCAGAGCGCAATTTCTGTTCTCATCCTGAAGCAAAGTTCTTAACTCAAGGTACAATTTCTGGGTTAGCGGAGTCTGTAACCTGAAGTGTCTGTAACCTGAAGCGCATGTAACCTGAGGTACCACTGTATATTTTAAAAAAGCTAATCTAAAAGGAACAGGAGCAAAAAGAAGCAAAGGGGGGGGGGAGAAAAAAAAGAGAGAGAAAGAAAATAAAGTGGAAAAAAGATAAAAAGACTTTTGGTTCTCTTGTCTGTCATCTAAATATAGTATTCGCTCATTAACACCCAGCTATTGTATTTTCTATAAGCCTTTATGTTTTCACTCTTCAAATCCAGGTGTTACAATTTCGTTTTCTCTTTCACGCAAAAAGCTCCAAATAAGTTTCCAATCCTTAATAAATGTTAGTCATGATTTTTCTCCAATTAAACATGTTAACTTTGCCATCTCAGCTAAGTCCAGTAATTTTAGATTCAGGTAGGTAGCCGTGCTGGTCTGATGCAGTCGAAATACATAAAAAATTGTCCAGTAGCTCCTTAGAGACCAACGAAGTTTGTTCTGGGTATAAGCTTTCGTGTGCATGTGTATCTGAAGAAGTGTGCATGCACATGAAAACTTATACCCAGAACAAACTTAGTTGGTCTCTAATAAAAATTTTTTTTATTTATTTCCAGTAATTTTATCAGCCATTCCTCTGTAAGTATGTATCTTTCCATCCTGGCAGGGGTTCTCCAGGATTTCAGACAAGGGACAATCCTAGCTCTGCCTAGAGATAAGAACATAAGACAGGCCTGCTGGATCAGGCCAAAGCAGGTCCATCTACTCCTGGACATGAGCACAAGAGCAGCCCTCTCCCCCTGCAATTCCCAGCAGCTGATATTCAGAGGCATAATGCCTCTGCCAGAAGAAGCAGAACATAGCAATCATGACTAGTAGCCATCAATACTCTTGTCCTCCAAGGCACCAGGGATAGAACCTGCACCCAGAACAGGTGCTCCAACCGCTGACCCTCCCTGACCCTGTACCAGACTGGCTGCGTGTGCAGAAATCCTGTGGACGTGCTGATTAATACATGCCACCTTGTGTGTGTATGCACCAAACAGCAGCTGAACTGTACAACCACTCTCTTCTCTTGTCTGTTTCCCCCTTCCCTACAGGAGCTTAGGAGTCCACTGCTCCAAAGTGCGGTCGCTCACACTGGATTCCTGGGAGCCAGAGCTACTGAAGGTAGAGGCCAAAACTCCGAATGACAAATAGTTAGTAGGCAGGAAGGGTTAGTGGGTGGGAGGGGGGCGGCCTGTGCTGTATGGGATGCAACTCTTGAGGGGGTGGGGCGGGAGCTTTCTGGTGCACCTTGTTGGACTACAGTTCCCATCATCCCTGTCCATTGGCTATGCTAGCTGGGAATGATGGGAATTGTAGTCCCGTAACATCTGAAGGGGCCCATGTTGGCTATCCTTGATCTAGCTCAGGGGTAGTCAACCTTTTTATACCTACCACCCACAAATGCATCTTTCTTGATGGTAAAATTTCCTTACTGCCCACCAGTGCTCGATGGAAGGAGAATTCAGCTTCTGCCATAGAACCCCCTACCACCCACCAAGAATCCTGAAACGGCCACTAGTGGGCAGTAGAGACCAGGCTGACAACCCCTGATCTAGCTACTAGGGATGGGATCTCAGTTTCTCATTTTCCCGGTCGTAAGTTCAGTTCTCCACATTTCCACATCAGTTTGTAATCTTTATTTTTTTTTATATAAAGTCCTCATGAAAATTCATCAACATTTTGTGCTCATTTCTGCCACTGTACACATTTTGCAGTTTCCCTAAATTAACACAATTTTTGCAAAACCCAATTTTTCCTAAAATAATGATTTTTAAAATGTTGTTTTCATGAATGTATGCATTTGAATGCAAATTGTATTCATATATGTATGCCTTCTTTTGTACACGTTTCATTTGTTGAGGACTGCATTGAAAAATTTGGATAAGTGCGAATTTCAAATGTTGGTTGTGTTTCTGCTCAACAACAACAACAACAACAACAATTTATTTATACTCCGCCCATCTGGCTGGGTTTCCCCAGCCACTCTGGCCGGCTCCCAACAGAATATTAAAAACACAATAAAACATCAAACATTAAAAACTTCCCTCAACATATTCTTCCATATTGTTTGACAATATGTGAATTCGATGACTTTGCCTTTAAATGCGAACTGGATCAAATTTCTTCGCCGTTGGGGAAAATGAGAAACTGGATCAAATTTCTTTGCTGTTGGGGAAAATGAGAAACTGACAGAAACCAAAATTGACAATCAGCCATTCCTAATTGTGGGTAAATGCAGTTGGCTGTGGATGGGGGGAGGGGAGCATCTCTCCTCCCTAACATACTGTGTTTGTGCTTGCTTTCCTAAAAGCTGATGTGTGAGCTGGGGAACGCCACCATGAACCAGATCTACGAGGCGCAGTGCGAGGAGATGGGACTCAAGAAGCCCACCGCGGGCAGCTCAAGGTATGGCTGTCTCCTCTCTGCTCTACAGTGTGTAGGACAGGAAGGCCCTCTTGAAGCGCAATACCCTGTAGACCAGAAATGGAGAGCCTATAGCCCTCCAGGTGTTATTGAGTACTACCAAGCCTTATGAGGAACGGTTGAGGGAGCTGGGTATGTTTAGCTTGGTAAAGATGAGACTGAGAGGAGGTATGATTGCCATCTTCAGATATCTATAGGGCTGTCACATGGAGGGTGGAGTAAGCTTGTTTACTCCTGGGACATGAAGCAATGGCTTCAAGTTACGAGGAAAGAGATTCCGACTAAGCGTCGGGAAGATCTTTCTGACGGTAAGAGCTGTTTGACAGTGGGACAGACTGCCTTTCTCATTGTTGACCTTGTTAACCCAGCAGGAGGTAAACTCTTTCCGATCCACTGATATTCAACCCGGAGATAAGCCGGTAGATGCCAATGCACCTTCTTATCTATTTGTGGCCTAGCCCCATAAACAAGTCAGAGCAAAGGCTCAGCCTAACCTCTGCATCAGCTTTGTGCAAGCAAATCAAGATGGATGCTGAACCAAAGAGGTGCTCTGAAGGAGCTCTTCATGAAACTGAGTTCCCTCTCAGGCAGGACAAAGAAGCATGGATCAAAGTCAAATACGTGGAGAAGAAGTTCCTGAAGCAGCTGTCGACTGGGGAGGCCCTGGCGGAGAATGAGAGGAAACCCCGGCGCTGGAGCGTGAAAAAGTGCCAGAGGCGCAACAGCTCCACAAAAGCGCCCACAGCACGGAGGAAGTACCGGCACGAAGCAGGAAACGCATCACCGGCAGCGCACTCTTCAGGTGAGGAACTGCTGTTTGCCACGCCAGCCCTTATTTTCTGCATGTGCTGTCTCTTAGAAGGGGTGGTTCATCCGTGGCTCAGTTCAGTAACACAATGTATTATTATTTTTACTTCACATTAGGCATTTTCAGAAGTCACATTCAGAGTTTTAGAAGGGTCCTGCTGGGTTGGCCCAATGGCCTATAAAGATTAAAGCACATCACCGTTCTATAAGGTGTCAAAGTGCAGGCAGGATTTCTCCACTCTCTCATCTTAGTGCTGTGGGGCCACAGTGCTAAGATCGGAGGTGAGCCTCTGTCTGCTCTTTAAAAAGCAGCAGGCAGAGGCATATCTCCAATCTTAGCACTGTCAGGAGATTGACGGGTGGACAGCTCTGTCCACTCTGAAAATGGCCCTACTGAGATAATAACTTTCCAGAGATTTAGCTTGGTAATAATATATATTGCAAATCATATAGGAACATTTACTATGTAGTTTTTGAAAGTTGTTCATTTGCTGTGCATTCCACACACCTCTTAAGTTAGCGTAATTAAACTCTGCATGGCAGTTCCTGAGACATCAAGATCCCAAGAGCAGGTTTTTTGCAAGTGGATTCCATTTTGCATCAGGATGGCGGACAGAACCTTTCAAAACCTCACTAGTCTTAACCACTGATTTTCAAACTGCACACTTTTTGGGATTGTTAGAAGAGCAGCACTGGTGTATGAGACAACTCGTGGATGATATAGGGTGGTATTGCTGTCCTACTCAGAATACTCCCATTGAAATTAATGGATATAGCTAACTTTGGTGCATTAATTGCAGTGAACCTCCTCTGAGTAGCACTTAGCTGAATACCTCCCAAAGTACCTACTCTGCAGATAATGCTATTCATTACGCATTCTGTAATCCTACCACATTTAAGGACCTGAGAAGAGCCTGCTGGGTGTAGTCCTGCCTCCTCTTCTTACAGTGGCCAACCAGATGCCTATGAAGACTGAAAGCAGGACCTCAGCATAACAATATTCTCCCTCCTCGCAGTTTTCAGCAGCTGGTATTCAGAAGCATAGCTGCCTCCAACTGTGGAGGCAGAACCAGGCCAGCATGACTCATTGTTGCTGATAACCCTGTCCTCTATGAATTTGTCTCAAAGCCACCCAAGTTGGTGGTCATCACTGCCTCCTGGGGCAGTGAGTTCCATAGTTTAACCATGGCCTGTATTATACAGTGGTACCTTGGGTTACATACGCTTCAGATTACAGACGCTTGAGGTTACAGACTCCGCTAACCCAGAAATAGTACCTCGGGTTAAGAACTTTACCTCAGGATGAGAACAGAAATTGTATTCCGGCAGCGCAGCAGCAGCAGGAGGCCCCATTAGCTAAAGTGGTGCTTCAAGTTAAGAACAGTTTCAGGTTAAGAACGGACCTCCGGAACGAATTAAATACTTAACCCGAGGTACCACTGTATTGTGGGTGGGTGTGCATGCGTGCACAAGTTGTGTGCATGAGAACACAAACAACAAACACAGGGAGCACATAAGGGTTGCTCTTTCCACACAGCTGCCACCCTTGAGAGGAAGTTCCGACGGGATTCCCTCTTCTGCCCCGACGA